GGAGCTCTAGAAGAACCATAGTTGTTTTCATCCATTGCTAATTGGGCTCGTTCTGGAAAAACAGTAACAATGGTGTTGTTGGCATTTTGCAACTCTGTAGATAAGTGGTCATACCGTTTAGCTAAGGTACGGTAAGCTCGGTACGATTCTTCAACAAAGGTTACTAGCTCTGGCCTTCTTTTATAATACATTTTTGCCCTCTTGTGGAAAATGACCTAGATTGCCCAGTATGTACCCTTCCACTCCCCTCCAACAGGTTCATTAATCAAGCGTAGAAAATTTCTCTGGGTTGGTCAAGAGAAATTCTCTGATTTGAACTGAAATTTCTCTGGGTTGGTCCAGAGAAATTCTCTGGATTGAATTTACGCCATCAACCACTCCTCCAGTCAGTCAATGCATCAGAGAAATTCTAGGAAGGATTGGGGCCAGAAAAATTCTAAGAAGAATTGGACTAGAGAAATTCAAAATTTCTCTGGACTCAACCAATGCATTAGAGAAATGCTGAGAAATTCTAGGAAGAATTGGGCCAGAAAAATTCTGAGAATAATTAGACTAGAGAAATTCTGAGAAATTCAGAATTGCTCTAGACTTTCTAGAGAAATTTGGTCCAGAGAAATTCGAATTTCTCTGGGCCAGAATTTCTCTGGACTGAAATTTCTCTGGATCAAGGTTGAGGGACCTTAGACATTATGAAAATATTGTTAAGGGACCTTAGATATTATAAAAATATTAAATGTCCTTTATGTTATAAAATATTAATATCAGGGACCTTAAAAAAAAACCCCTAAAAATATCCCAAATCACCCCTAGAATTAAATAAATAAATTACTTAAAATGTTTTACAAACTCAACAACAGCATGGTTAGAGAGACTTTTGTGTGGACAAAAACAAATGAGATGGTGTAAGTCTCATAATTTTTTTTTTTTTTTGAACAGTATCTCATAATTTGTTGATTTCGATGATTGTGATATTGTTAAAGAAATTGGAGGATTTTAATTTGAAGTAAAAATAATATACTGCTTGGCTTCACATTTTTAAAAATAATTTTCGTGTTTTTTATTTTTGAATTTTTTTTTTTATTTTTTTAATTACACATAATCTAATGTACTTAAAATATAGAAATATGTATGGGAAAATTATTTTTTTTGAACCTTTTTGTATTTAGTAAATTTTTTTAAACAAATATTTCCAAAATTTATATTTTTTAAGTGGATCCAAAAAATTTATAAAAAAAAATTGTGAGATAAAAGATTCATTTTAAACACAAATTTTATTATATAAAAATTAAATCTAAATTAGGATTTTTTTAAAAAAATTGGAATAAAAGAGATTGAGAATTGTGTTTTAGAGATCTTATCTACAGCCGACAATCAGATGCCACGTGTCAGTTTATGTCATAACCCACGCAAACCTTCACACCTAAATGCTTAATAGGATCGTACTTTAAAATTGTAATATTTTATAATTTTAAAATTTTAAAATTTATTTTTTATTTTGATCAATATTAAAGATTATTTGACTAAATTCTACAAAAATTAAAAAATAATATATACTTTTTTCTATTGTTGTTTATTGTTGTTATTTTTTTTCCCTTTTAATTTATCAATATTTAGTACATTTTGCCATATTCTTTCACTATAATTTTTTCATTTATTCTTTTTTTTCGTGCAATATTCTAGACATTCCGGTAAGTCTCCGATGATGTTTTTGATGTTCAATGAACATTCTAAACATTTCATCGATTTCCAGTGACATTTAGAACATTCCGGCAATACTCCGGCGAACTTTCGGCAATACTCTATCGGCTTTCCAATGATATTGAATATTCCGATGAGTCTCCGGTGACCATTTGACGGGAGTTAGGCAGTGGTAGAATGTAGCAACGTTTTTAAAGTTATAAAAAATAAATAAATAAATAAAAATTGATAACAATTAAAAATATATAAGACTAATTGATACAAATGTTTTGTTTGGTCTTATTTTGGGAAGATGGTAAGAAGTAACATTTTGGCTTTTAACCAACCTTTTGGGCTTTTTAGACAAATGATTTGGGAAGTTAATAAAAAGTTACTTTTGACTTTTTTATTAATATTTGTTTGTGATGTCAAATCACAATAAAATGACCAAACTATCTCCATTTATTTAAAATATTTACAACTTCACTTAGAAGAAGGATTCATGTAGCCGACCCAATTTGATGAGACTTAAGGCTTGGCTTGGTTTGGTTTGGTTTGGTTTGGTATTTACAACTTCACCTATGTAACACATTTTAACCTGTAAGGGGTAGAATTGTAATTTCATCATTGACTAAAAACCAACTTCCCAAATGAAAAAAAAGACAAAAAAGCTAACTTTTGACTAGGAATGGCGACGAGGCGGGGCCAGGGATCACACTCTCCGTCCCCGATCGCCGATGGTAAAATTTTTCCCATCCCCGGCCCCGATCCCCGATGGGGACCTATCACTGCCCCCCGTCCTCGCCCCCCAACGGGGATCGGGTTTCCCCGACCCCGAAATTCCTCGGACCCAAAAAAAAAACAAAAAAACCAACAACAACAAACAAACAGAGAGGGAGAGATCTAATATACATTGATATACATCATAAACATCACAAACAACATCATCAACATCAGGACAGATCTGATGCTGTTTTTTTTTTTTTTTTTTTGAGTCGATCTGATCTGAGAGGGGGAGAGAGGGAGTAAAGATCTGATCTGAGTCGATCTGCTCGTCTGAATTCAAAGGGCAGATCTGAATCTGATCTAGCCTCAATCTGCTCGTCGCCCGTCGTCCTCCCATCTCTCTGCTGCTCGTCGTCGTCAGAGGTGGCGCTCGTTGTCGTCGTCCTAGTTGGAGGTGGCGTCGTCGGAGACGGACCGTCGTCGTAGTTGGATGCAGCGTCTTAGACGGAGAGGAAGAGAGAGAGGGAGTAGAGGGAAGAGAGAGAGAAGAGCATTAATGAAATGAAACAAAAAATAGAAATGGAAGAGGGCTGAATGAGAGACGGAAACAAATAATAAAAAAATATTATATATATATATAGATCAGTTCGGGGACATACGGGACGAGGCCGGGCCGGAGCCTGGCCGGGGCCGGGGATTGGGCACTTATCACCGTCCCCGGCTCGAAATTAATCGGGGATTGGTTTTTGAATACCATCCCCGTCCCGTCGGGAGTATTTTTTGAGGAAAACCCATTCAAATCGGGGTTGGGGGATCGGGTCCCCGTCGGACGGATTTCAAATTGCCATTCCTACTTTTGACTTTTGATACTAACCTAAAAAAGTGGCTAAAAGCCATGTTGCCAAAAGACCCCTTTGAAATTAGATAGATTTTAAATTTTGTGTATGAAAGTTAAGGGCCCCAATTAATATTAAGAATCAAATAAATAAATTACTTAAAATGTAACAATGTGTTTGGCAAGTGGGTTTGCAGGCTTTTTTGGCTATTTTAGCCACAAAAAATAAAATAGGCTATTTTAGCCATAACAAACAAAACATCACATCCAATCCATAATCATTACATTCTTCTCTCACAAAAAAAGCCAAAAAAGCCAAAAAGTCAAAAAGCCCTTCCCAAACCAAGCTTTTTAGCCCAGGCTAAAATAGCCAAAAAAAGAAGAGCATTAATGAAATGAAACAAAAAATAGAAATGGAAGAGGGCTGAATGAGAGACGGAAACAAATAATAAAAAAATATTATATATATATATAGATCAGTTCGGGGACATACGGGACGAGGCCGGGCCGGAGCCTGGCCGGGGCCGGGGATTGGGCACTTATCACCGTCCCCGGCTCGAAATTAATCGGGGATTGGTTTTTGAATACCATCCCCGTCCCGTCGGGAGTATTTTTTGAGGAAAACCCATTCAAATCGGGGTTGGGGGATCGGGTCCCCGTCGGACGGATTTCAAATTGCCATTCCTACTTTTGACTTTTGATACTAACCTAAAAAAGTGGCTAAAAGCCATGTTGCCAAAAGACCCCTTTGAAATTAGATAGATTTTAAATTTTGTGTATGAAAGTTAAGGGCCCCAATTAATATTAAGAATCAAATAAATAAATTACTTAAAATGTAACAATGTGTTTGGCAAGTGGGTTTGCAGGCTTTTTTGGCTATTTTAGCCACAAAAAATAAAATAGGCTATTTTAGCCATAACAAACAAAACATCACATCCAACCCATAATCATTACATTCTTCTCTCACAAAAAAACTCAAAAAAGCCAAAAAACCAAAAAGCCCTTCCTAAACCAAGCTTTTAAGTCCAGGCTAAAATAACCAAAAAAGTCAAAAAATCAAAAAGCCAACCCACTTCCCAAACGGAGGCTCAACAACAGCATGGTTAGAGAAACTTTTTTGTGTGCACGAAAATAAATGACATGATGTAAGTCTCATAATGTGTTGATTACAATGATTGTGATATTGTTAAAGAAATTGGAGGATTTTAATTTGAGGTAAAAATAATATACTGCTTGGCTTTACATTTTTAAAAATAATTTGTGTTTTTTATTTTTCAAATTTTTTTATTTTTGGTTTTTTTTTTTTTAATTACTCATAATCTAATGTACTTAAAATATAGAAATATGTATGGAAAAAAAAAATTTGTACCTTTTTGTATTTAGTAAATTTTAAAAAAAAATCATTTCTGAAATTTATATTTTTTAAGTGGATCCAAAAATTTGAAAAAAAAAATCGTGAGATAAAAGATTCATTTTAAACACAAATTTTATTATATAAAAATTAAATCTAAATTAGGAGTTTTTTTTTTAAAAAAAAATTATTGAAATAAAAGAGATTGAGAATTGTGTTGCACAGATCTTATCTTATCGACAGCCGACATCAGATGCCACATGTCAGTCTATGTCATAACCGACGCAACCCTAAACGTGTCACAATCCCATTGTTACATAGCTCCACGTGTCAGACTCTCGTGCATGCATTAACAACTACTTTCACCGCCTTTTCACTATATAAATCCCCAATCCACCCAACAGCATCTCTCATCAATCTATTCTCATATCATTTCTTTTTCTCCTCTTCTAGTTCCCGTTTTGAAGACAAAAAAATGGCACATAACAGCAACCAATATGGGAACCCACCTCGCCAAACTGACGAGTATGGGAACCCACCTCGCAAAACCGACGAATTTGGTGACCCAGTTCGCCAAATTGACGAGTACGGAAACCCGGTTCACCATACTGGTACCATGGGAGATTATGGTACCACTACCGGTACCACAGGCGTTCATGGCACCCACACTGGCACTACGGGCACTTATGGCACCGGCACTACTGGCACTTATGGCACCGGGATGGGTACCACCGGTACCACTGGTACCCATGGTTTGAGCACTGGTACCGGAGGCCATCATCAGCAGCATGCTGACGGAGGAGTGCTTCACCGCTCCGGCAGCAGCTCTAGCTCTGTATGTCTCTCTTATTCCTGTCAACTTTGTTTACTTTTTATTTTAATACTGTTAAGACTAAATTCAACAGTTAACCAATCATTTATTTCTCTCAATTAATCTTCGGGGGCGATGTTAGATATCATTAAAAATATTTTATAAAGATGATCATGCAATTTTTTTTACTCTTAAATTAAATTACATATGCATTAAGTTAAATTTATCTTAATACTGTTAAGAGTAGATTCAATATTAATTAATCAATCATTTATTTCTCTCAATTAATCATTGAGTAATTTTAGATATCATAAAAAAAAAAAAAATTGAATCTTATATTACATATGCAATAAGATATAATTTATAATATAAGGATGAAAATTTTTTGATGATTATTTTCATAAAATATTTTTCATGATACTAGCATTTTTGTTAATCATCTCACTCACCAATTATATTATTAGTTGAGTCGTACCCATTATTATTAGTTGAGTGGTGGACTTTGTATATATTTTTTATACTTTTATACATTCTAAAAAATATCAAGAAAATATTTAGAAGAATTTTAAAGTAAATTTTTTTTAATTGTGAGAATCACACCAATGAAGTTTAAGTGTAAATATGATTAGGCTTGTCTTCAGTTCATTAATTGGGCTAGAGAGGGAAGTTTAAATTGTGGGTCTTATTGTGTATTTTTTTGGGGGTAAAACAGAAGTGATTTAATACGTAGATACGGATATTCGATTTACTCGTACTGGTTTGTCAAAATTGTGCAGTCAGAGGATGATGGTCAAGGAGGGAGGAGGAAGAAGAAAGGGCTGACACAGAAGATAAAGGAGAAGCTGCCAGGTGGGCACAAAGACCAGACACCGCAGTACGGCAACACAACCACCACTCCAGGAGCAGCCACCACCGGTGGCTATGGCTACGGAGGAGAGGACCAACAGCAGTACCCTGAAAAGAAAGGAATGATGGAGAAGATCAAGGAGAAGCTTCCTGGCCACACCACCACTAATAAATAAATACAATTTTCATGATATATCATATATGTAAATTGCTTGTTTGTGGCCAGAGCGCCAGAGTCTACTAGTCTAGTTTATGATGTGTGTTTTGTGTGTTGTCATAAAAGCGTTCTTCTTATACAGACAAGTAACAATGTAATGTGTGTGTCGGTGTCGTCTTTAATTATAATAAGCTCTCGTGCGGGTCTGTGGCTGCGCGTTTGTGCCTTTGCGCATTTTATATTTATGTTATGTGCAATGTAATGTTAGTTCTTTCAAGTATTAATGATAAAATTGTAGTGGCCAATGGCCATTCTAATGGTTTTGTGTTCATCTGTGTCTCATTTCTTCTCCGTATTATGGTTTGTTGGGAGCAATTATTCTATATTTTGTTTGCCTAGTTTATGTCGTAATACATATATACCAATTATATCAATCTTCTTTAGGCTTTTTTAAAAGATTTTGAATGAATCAATGGTGGGACTCAAAACCATATATACATATTAGATAGAGTTGAACATAATGAGTTGGAGGAGCTGAGCCATTGTGATTATAGGTTTTGAGTGAATTGGGAAGAAGATGAAGAAAGGCTGTATCGTGTTCTAAATTGGGAAGCAGCTGTACGGTGTTCTGAATTGGGAAGAAAGTGTAAATTTGTCTTTTTGCTATAAAATTTGATTTTTTACTCTCTTATTTTCTCATACAAACTCTCAAATTCGGCACGTGTTTAAAAAAATTCTGTTAGTTTTGACCGGATTAATAATGGTAGGGAGGTAACCTATAATACAACCCTAAATAGGATTAATAATGATGGTAGAGAGATAAAGTGTAAAATAACATTATTTTTGAGTGAGCCAAATCATGGAGGAGTAAAAGTAAAGTTTTTTCTAAAAATAATTTATGTATCTACCAAGTAAATATATGCATTTCATAAATTAATAAATAAAATGAAATACATGTATGACTTAAAGAACCTTTTAAATATTTTTTTATTTTTTATTGGAGTACCTAAAAAATTTTCTACTAATTTTAATTAAAATAAACAAAAATATATGGTGGACAAAGATATACAATTCATTTCACCAATGCCACTAGTGTTTTTAAGGGAGCGGATATGCCTTCTTAAAACAGGAGTATATGGAAAGTGTTTGAGTGTGTAATGTGCATTAACTCAACTAAATTTAAAAAATTACAATTTATATATATTTATAAGAATTTACGCAATATATTTGTACACTTAAAAATTACCCTTATAATATTCATAAAATAATCACACTAATCTATAATTTTAACTTTAAAAACATCCTATAGATTACTATTTATAATTTTTACCATAAAGTGACAAGCACGTATAAAAAAACCTTTGAAAACTTTCACCACAAAAAATTTTACTTTCTTACTATGTGTTCTTTTTAGGAATGTGCATTGGGTGGGTGATTTTCCGACCACACTGCCCACTTAGTAACCAGCTGGAGAGCACTGGCAGAATAGATGACACCTGACTGACCTACAACAGAAATATAAGAATTCCGCGGTGGTTTCGACCACCCGGGAGCACTCCGACGATTAAGTCAGTATATCTCTCAAAGATAAATCAAGTACTAAACTCACAAGCTTGAGTATCAAAAGCATACCTTAGACACATGGGGATGCCTCTCTTTTATAGCCAATACAATCCTAGTCCCAATAGAAGCCTGGCCCTAATGGACTTAGGATTACTGCTAATCTGAAACTCCCAGTGTGATTAGGATAAACTCTCTAAGAGTCTTATCTTTACCCAAACTGAAATCTTCTCCCAATCTAGGACTCTTGTCCATATCCAAGTTGAGTTCCCTCTTCATTCTAGGACTCTTGTCCCTTATCCGCTTATCTCGGATTCCGATATCTTCGGAGGCAACCTCGGCCTAGCCGAGATGACTTCGGCACAACGACCAAGACACGTGGCACCTCAGCTGACACGTCGGCATCACCTTGCCACGTGTTGGTACTCAGAAAATATATCCCCACACGCATCATGAATTTATCCATTGAATCTTTCATCCATAAGATTAGCTCTGTTACCGACAAGGAGATAGCCTAATTACCGAAAAATAGAAGATGTGATTGAGATTTAATAAATTTTTGATTTTTCTAGATAAATCTTTAAATAAATTTTTTAAATATATAGTATAGACTAATATATTAATGCGGCTTTGACCTTCTAGCTACTTCAATCAATTGGCTATAGCTTAGTTGATCACTCTTTTACATTTCAACGCAAGAGGTCAAAAAAATTTCCCTTGTTATAGAGTTTTTTTTCCTTTTTTTTTTTTTGGAGGAAGGGGGGATTACATTCATTTTCCCGATTGTGGACTCATATTGAAAAATAGTAATAATAGTAACAATAAAATAATAAATAAATAAATAACTTGTAGCAAATTCATAATAAGAAGCTCTGGAAAAGCGAGTTGAGATCCTCTCCAGCGTCCCCTCCGACAACAGCTCAAATTGGCTCACATCATTCTATTCAAAATGTGCGGCTGAGATTAGTTTAAAATAAATAAATAAACACTAACACATGTCTCAGCCCTCAGTCACATTCACACTACAACAAAAATAGTCTTTAGAGACGAAAAGCAATGACGAAAAAAAAATTTGTCACGAAATACGTATCTTTTAATGACGAAAATAATATTTCGTCTCCAAATATACCATTTTTAGAGACAAAAATAAAATTTCGTCACCAATCTAAATCATAATAAAAAAAATCAGGTGACGAAATTATTTTTCATCATTATTTATATTTTTTTTGTCACCAAAGATTTTCCCGCTAATTTTTTCGGAAGGTGCCAAAATTTTGAGACTTTTGGTGACAAAAAAATTAGTCACCAATTATAAAATTATTAATGACGAATATATTTTTGTGACCAATAATTTTTAATATTTTAATATCATTTAGTGACAAAACTATTTTTGTGGCCAATATTTTTATCTTTGGTGAAGAAATAATTTTGTCACCAATAAATAATTTAGTCGCTAAATATTTTAGAGGGGAAATAAAAATGTTTTGGCGCAATCGGTTCTTCTTCTTCTCAAACACACACAATAATTTCTCTATCAAATCTGATTTCACACACGCACACACACCTTATACTCATTCACACACAAAGTTCCCTCACCGCCGCTGCTACCATTTCATCGACTCACCGTCGACAGCCTTTCCTCACCGCCGCCGTTGGTTTCTCCTTCCCTTTCTGCTGATCGTTAGCCCCTCATTTCCTCACCGCCGTTGTTATGCTGATTGGAGAACCACCACCGCTGTTAGTCTCTCTCTCTCTCTCGATGCTCCCTTTGTCTAATATTTTCTTTGTCTGATGTATATGCTCTGTATACATATAAAACATATGTATATATATCACTTCAGCAGTCGATTTCACCACTTCTCAATTTTTTCTTTTTCGGTTGATCCCTACCTTTCATTCATCAGTTTCCCTCTCACTGATTGCAAAATTTTTTACATATAAAATATATATATACAACCTGTGATTTTTCTATTGTTGCTTCTTTTGCCATACAACTATTCTTCATTCCCACTCAGCCTTTTGACTTCAATTTCAATCCCCTCTACTGCATATATATAGGCTGCATATTTTAGGCCTTTTGACAGTGGCGGTTCATTACATGTATTAGAGGCCATGCCTCTTTGGTCTCTGTAGTAGTAGTAGTAGTAATGTTATATCAATGGAGTGTTTGATGTTGTCATATCAATGGAGTGTTTGATGTTGCCTTTTTTATCAACTATGAATGGTTTGAACCATTTTGCATAATTCTTGCGACTGGTGTTTGATGTTTATTTTATACCCACATTGCTTGCGAAGTACTTGTATTGAAAATCAAAATGTGTTGCAATGTCAAATATTATTAAAGATGAAGTGAAGTCGTATGTCTAACACCAAATGGTTTGAAGCAAGATTGTAAGACTCAATTCAACAAGTGGTAATAGAATTATATAATTATGGTTTAAATCATGGGATCGCCATAACGAGGAAGGGAATTATATAATCATGGTTGAAATCATGGGATCGTCACCATGAGGAAGGGATTATTCATCATGAGAAAGGGATTATTCATGTACACGCCCCTCTAAAGATAAGTCCACATAATTTAATGTCAAATGCCATAAAAGAAATATTTTTCCCTAATTAATTTTAGGTAAGATGGCTTTGTATGAAGATAGGCATATTAGTCATACTCTTAATCATTACCTATAAAAGGAGGATATATATCATATGGAAATTATGTCATTTATAAATTTGATTATAACAAATAACATAACTCAATACTAGAAGGATCGTAACTTTAAAAAAAAAAGAAGTTATAATTAAACATCACATGAGGTATAACTAAGAACTTTTCTTAGAATGTTATGTTCAGAAATGGCTGTCATTTTTGGTTTTGTTTTTGTGGGATTTCTGTTCTAGTTAGAAGGGGCCTAGGTTAGTAAGTGCAACATCAGTAGCCTTCAGTGTGGGCGTTCTACTGGTGGAGTATTTTGGTGTTATAATGGTGGAGTATTTTGCTTTTGTATTGTAGTAGGAATGGTGTTAGAATGTTAAAATCAATGTCACGCCCCAAACCCGCCCCTAGAAGTTTGGGCATGACCACTTCAGAAACGGACACTTAACCTGTTTTATATCTATATATATGGGGCCTGAACGGAAGCACTAAATATTAAAATTTGACACTGGAAACAAACTCCATCGAGCTGCTACTATCATGCCAGGATCACAAACTTTTAACAAACAAATAAAATCTAAAACATACACCTGAACATCGGTTATATACATATATATATACAGACCCAGCCCTATTATTGGGCATATACAAAAACATGAGAGCTATATACATCACTCTTAGATAGACATTCAAAAAGCAAACCAACATCTTATCAGCTTAACAAAATCAATGACTTTGTATAATGCCTGAACACACGAAGGTTGACAAAAGAAAACGGGCATCATGGGTTAGGATTGACCTCCCTGTTGGTTACCTACAGAAACAGACATAATACAGAGTGAGCCAAGCTCAGTGAATAATAGTACTTGAACAAAACGATGCTTAACTGGAAACATAACATACCAATGCGTATGAACATGAAGAGGTCACATAGTTAGTCTGATTCTATACTAATTTCATAACGACCTTAGGCCCGGAACATAATGGCTTAAACATAATATCTTGGAACGTAATGGCTTTAAGCCCTTGAACAGAGTGGCATAAAGCCCTTGAACATTGTGGCACGAAACCCTTAATCATAGTGGCATTAAGCCCTTAAACATAGTGGCACGAAGTCC